TAAAGTCTTTTTCCATTTTGTTCTCAAATACTGATTACCTACTCTCTATATATTCTTTCTTCTAAGACTCTGATTAGATGTATGTTAGAACAGGTCATTATATTCCATGTCTTACTATATGCCCTTGACATTTTGCATCTCCTTGATCTCTCTTAAATATTCTAATGCCTCATTCTGATTAATTCATTTGTTCTTTTTAATTGTCTGATATGTAGTTTAATCAATCCATATGTTTTAAGTTTCAAGAGTTATATTTCTTAATTGAAACATATGTTGTCAATTTTTTGGGAATCTTGACAATTTTTTTTTTTTATTTTACTTTAAGTTCTGGGATACATGTGCAGAATGCTCAGGTTTGTTACATAGGTATACATGTGCCATTGCTGTACCTATCAAGCTGTCATCTATGTTTTAAGCCCCACATGCATTAGGTATTTGTCCTAATGCTCTCACTTCCCTTGCTCCTGACTCCCCAACAAGCCTCAATATGTGATGCTCCCCTCCTTGTGTCCATATGTTCTCATTGTTCAACTCCCACTTGTGAGTGAGAACATGTGGTGTTTGGTTTTCCATTCCTGTGTCAGTTTGCTGAGAATGATGGTTTCCGGATTCATCCATGTCCCTACAAAGGACATGAACCCGTCGTTTTTTATGGCTGCATAGTATTCCATGATGTATATTTGTCACATTTTCTTTATCCAGTCTGTCATTGATGGGTATTTGGGTTGGTTCCAAGTCTTTGCTATTGCAAATAGTACTGCAATAAACATAAGTGTGCATGTGTCTTTACTACAGAATGATTTAAATGCTTTGGGTATATATCTAGTAATGTGATTGCTGGGTCAAATGGTATTTCTAGTTCTAGATCCTTGAGGGATCGTCACGTCTTCAATGGTGGTTGAACTAATTTACCCTCCCACCAACAGTGTAAAAGCGTTCCTATTTCTCCACATCCTTGCCAGCATCTGTTGTTTCCTGACTTTTCAATGATCACCATTCTAACTAGCGTAAGATAGTATCTCATTGTGGTTTTGATCTGTATTTCTTTAATAACCAGTGATGATGAACTTTTTTTCATGTTTGTTGGCCACATAAATGTCTTCTTTTGGGAAGTGCCTGTTCATATCGTCTCATGTTGTTTAATCATTTTTTAATTGTAACTTTTATATATTTTGAATGCTTACTAGTATTTTATAACTGAAAACTCCTGTATCTAAAGTGACTGGGTATGTACGGCTACTATTTGTGTTTTCTTCTGATTTCACCTATGGTGGCTTATTTTCCTGTTCAAATGGTGAATTTTCATAATAGTGAGCTCATATAAAATTTATCTGTATCCATCAATATCTTGGAGGTAAAAATTGGAGTGCTTTTCTATACACAAATTTGTGTTTAATTACATCAGAAGTAAGAGGAAGGCACTAATGTAAAAACCCTAGCCACCTTCAAGATCTAAGTTTAAAGCAAATTCAGATTCAACCCCTTCTCTCTATGAGTAACTCCAGGCTTAGTCTTCTGATCAAATGCAGTATCGACACTGGCATTTGCCCTCAGTATAATCTCATATTTCAAGCTTATTCTTCACTTCTCCCTAGTCTGCATTTAGTGCAGTCTTGGTGGAAGAGAGAACAAAGGCTCTAAAATTTTTCCTTAATTCGTAGAAGTCTAGAAATGCATTGCATATGTTTTATCTAGTATAGCTGTTTCATAGGGAAGTAATCCTCCTACTTCTACCAAAAACGTTATAACACTGAAAATTTTGATAAGAAAAATAACAGTCAATAGAGAACGGGTACACAGTTGAAGTAAATGATACATAATAAAAGAAATGCAGTGAGCAAACCACTCATTAGTGGAATATAATAACTCAGTCATAATATGAGTTTGGGGTATTATAAGTAAATACTAAACATTAAGAGAATGGACCCAATCCATTGCTGACTAGATCATGTTTGCAGTTCCACCACATTTAACTTAGTTCTTAAAAAGAAAACACCCATGCAATGGAATCGATACTGAGATTTTCACTCAGAGCTCTAGATCAACTCTTCTGCTTCTCAGCTATAGTCATTTTATAGCTAAATGATTTCACATATTATACAGTTCACAGCTTATGCTAATTTTTACTATACTCTTAAGTATAAAGCACTCAAAAGCATGGAATATTTTACAATAACACAGAACTGTGGCAGAAGTTTCCCAACATGAATAATCTGAGTAAACAAATTTAATTATAAAGATAATATGTGATAAGGTAAACTTGTCCTCTTATTCTATCTTAAAAATGGGGCATTTTTGAAAAATGCTTTGATAGCAGATCAAGTTCTAAACATCCATGTGACTATGTTCTTTCACATCTCCGGGGCTACCATTACTGTTCAGCTTTCAGTGGAGTTTCTTTATGTTTTTTACTAAGCTGTGACTTCTGAAATTGTAAGGCTCCAAATTTCAAATATCTCTGTAATAACTCATAAACAGATCAGAGATAAACTACTCAGCACCTTAAAGGATCTCTGGTCAGACAACTACATCAGGATTCAAACATAAGTGCAAGAATATTTTAATGCCCTAGGGACAAGTCCTATTCAACTCTTTAGCTAATAAAATGCTGAGAAGTTGACTTAAATTCAAAATGAACAGACAACTGTCATTTGATATAGAAGCGTAGGTCCTCAGAAGGGTTCCAAGATCATATAATAGTGAAGGATTAAAATGTAACTCACCTTGGAAATCTCAGCTTATTCATAACTCCTGTGAAGCCAAAAACTCACAGGGATCTCATTTACATAAAGATATTCACCGAGCTCCCATTAGGCATCCTGCCACTGTGTTAAATCGTGCAGATACAGTGATGAACAAGAAAAGAATACTTCTCTTTTCTCTGGAGCTTACTTTCATCACTGAATATTAACTAAATTCTGACATTATTCAGTAATAGGCTTATTCATACTTTTATTTCTTGGATGATTAGTTTGTTCACCTAAAGCATGTGAAAACCCTGTTTTCCCAGACAGATTCTCAAGAAATGCCTCAGCTGCATCAATAGAAAAATAACTTGTCCAAATGTTCTGGTAGCTAGATGTATCAGAATAAGTGTGTATGTGTATGTGTGTGTGTGCATGTGTGTGGGTGTGCAGGTCCATGATATGTATATGTTCTGGCTGGTTTCCTCATGATTAAAGAAAATCATGATGATTTCTCCAAAAAACAAAAAAAAGCTGTAAAAAGAATGGACTATCCGATTTTTATATCACTCAATAAAGGTACATGCACAATGTGCGCATGTGCGCATATCCACACTAGTAAAGCTCAGAAAGCAGCTGATGTCTGCGAGCCTCAGAAATAAATTAACATGCAGCTAACATCAGAGGAGCCAGAAACACTCATTGCAAGTGTGAACACATATTTGATTGCAGGACTGTGTCTTTCCCAGGGCTGACCTTATAAATTAAACAGTGTAAATCTCAAGTAAGTGTTTTCTGAACATTTTGATTCACTGTGAACATTGGGATGCCCTTCAAATTAACATTCCACATTATTAGCCTATTGTTGGACATGAACTGCTCCATTACTGGTGACTGAAACAACATACACACTCGCACTAACACACAACTTTTAAAAGGGATGGAAGAAACTGTTTAATATCTTGGGATGTAAAAATTGAAGTGAATAGATTTTTTAGACTGGGATATTGACATAGTAAGTAAAGCTTTCTACTTTGATGCCCAGAGGCATAATAACGAGAAAGTACCTAACGAGCAGTAAATAATACCTGAAAACAGGGTACCACCACCGTTTTGATGAACTAATTCCTATTTATAACCAACTCTCAGTTAAAATGCTCCTTGCTCAGGAAGGCATTTCCTAACCCACCCTATTCGGTTATGCTATCATTATATTCAAACACACTGCCTTGTACTTCATCTTTTTTTTTTTTTTAATATTCACTCCCTATAGAGACTGTCAAAAATTGTCAATGCCGACTATATTGCAAGTTGTCACGGCGGGATATTGGGAAAAGTTTTCAATTAGCAATAATCGTGCCTCGGGTAAACCTCATTGGCTATGATATTGCCACTGCACAAAGCTTGTACTTCATCTTTTATAACACTTACTATTCTTGTAATCATCTAAGTGTCTCATCTTCCCTATTAAACTGTAAGTTCCATGAGGGCACTGACTATGTTTTCTCTCTTGCATATTCAATGCCTCGTACAACAGGATTTTCGAAATTAATTAATTAAGGAATGAGTACATAAATGAAATAAAGATACATATCCTATACTTATCTCTAGAAATTATAAAATATTAACTGAGAAAGTTAATGTTTATAAAGAGAATACGGTGAAAGCAGAAGGAAAACACAAACATGTCCCACATCCATTCAAGAATCTGGAATAACTTAAGCAGTTTTACCTGCTTGGAGGGACAAGTGTACATCCAAAATCATACATATTACAAAAATTCTCACCTTTAGATTACTGTTTGTATGCCAAGCAAGGATATTGCAGAATTGTTCAAAGCTAGAAGAATATATAATCTCATTTTAAAATAAAAATGAGCAACGCTTTCTCAAAATTTTTTCTCAGAATAGAGAATAGGATATATTTATAATAGTATCTGTAATTTGGGAGCTGCTCTGTCAAAAAATTAGGATGTGGAGTCACATTTAGTAAGGACAAATAAATGGACTATGGTAAATTGTTAAACTCATCAGCATTGTTAGAATCACTGTGAATTTAAAAATACAATCAGTAAATGGTATAAAACAAGTATGAAACACGAGCGCAAAGTCCTAAAGAAGGAACCAAACAAAAATCTACAGTGATCATAGCTATAACTATATCACCTGCAAATCTCTGATGATCTTTTACGTGGTCTTCTCTTATAACTTCCCCAAGTCATCAGAATCACTCCCAATAATTCCTGGTTCAGCCCTCTTTCTGTGGGTTTCTTCTATTATTTTGTTTCTATATCCCTCCCACCCTCCTATGACTTACCTGTAGTGTCGGGAAATCTCTTCTTCCACCTGGGTAATAAAATCACATTTGGTACATGAGTGTTCTTTGCTTTCCTTGACAGCCTGCTGCCCATCTGATCCTTGCAAGTGATTTGCTTCTTGTTTGACATCCGACGCTTGGGACTCATGCACGCTCTCATAGTGAAAGAGGAGTACGTCTACATCAGGGGTGGTGAATGAACACTGGTGGCACTGGTGTTTGACTCGCGAGCTTCCGGCCGCCCCAGGAGACAAGTGCAGAAGCAAGAGTGCACAGTGAGAACAATTACTTTTTCTACAAGCAAAGGGATAAGTAATTTCTCCAAGGTGCTTTTCTGGGCTGCAAAGGCCTCTGGGACAGAATGGACAGTGTTTAATGGTACACTTGTGAATGTTATGGAGTTGTTGGTAATGACGGAGAAGTGGCCCCACTACAATTACATCGGGGCCATGGCTTTTGGAATATCGGAAGTCACAGAACTGGCAATTATAGCTCGTTACCATATTATCCTCGGCTCCCTTGCTGGAGAAGTCCTTCTTTTTAGCCCCACTCGAACTCTTGTCTGCCTTGGTCATTGTCTCTCCTTCTGAACTTTTGGCTAGATCATTCTGATTAATGACAGAGCCCCTGGAAAGCTTATCATTCAACTCTGGATTAAGGCCGCCTGACTGTACTGCTCCGTGCTGCTTGCCATAATGTTCTAGCAGTTTAAGTGAGCTAGATGACTCACAGCTGAAACTACAAAATTTACACCAGTAGTAACTGGTGGCCTCTGTACCATTTTGTCTCGAGGAATCGAGGGGCTTGATGGGCACTGAGTACCCAACAGGAGTGTCATCTCCTGCTTTGACTGTTATCTTGTCCTGCCATTTTCCCAAGTCTCCAGAATCACTGGATCGAAGTGCAGGGATGGACTTGTTAGAGTTTTTCTCTGAAGGTTTTGCAACCTCAGAAGAGGGGAGAGAAGCTTTTATTTTGTTTGGGTGAGTTTGAAGAAAATGTTGTTCTAATTCGGTGGATGAGTTGCCCATATATGTAAAATTGCAGAATTTACAGCGGAAATACTTGGTGTTTCCTTGGCAATCTGGTGTTTTCCGTCCAATGCCAATGAATGTTCCACCTGAAGTCACCTGGAAAATAGAAGAAATGGACGTTACTTCCAAGGTATCATTAATTCAAGGGGCTCTCTGCAGGGGAGGGGGAGGATACTGCCAAGTATTGCACATCAAAAAATACAATAGTACTCCTGCTTATTATGAAATCACTTGAATAATCAGAGCCAAATAAATTCACTCTTCATTTCTCAACAGCTACTCTTTGAGAGGCTCATTATGCTAAACATTGGAGGCCAAAGTAACAGGTGAAGGTAAGTAATAAATGCACTATAATTTGAAAGACTGAATAATACATTTTTTTAAACTAAGAAAACAATTTTCAACAGGGTATGATTTACTATTGCCTCCTTCAAATCACATTTCTTCAGAAGCATCCAAATCACATGGGATGTTTTTTCAAAAAGTGAAGGTTACTGTCAAAACTAGAGGCAGTTGTTCAGAAACTATTCAATGCAGATGTTCTCCAAGGAAATATCCTGTTCAGTTCCTACAGCAATGAGGCTTCAGGCAAAGATGAGGTCTCTGTTTTGGGTAAAATAAAGGTGCTCAAATGAGCACCCCAAATGGCTTATAATTAAAGCACAATGAAACCACACACACACACACACAAATGAATTGAGTATACAGGAAATACTAGTGAAGGAGAACCAGTAAAGAATTTCGAATGTTTCCCAATCTAGAACAAACAAAAAGAAGAAAAATCTTCCATGGCCTTATGCCCTAATTTGTTTAAGGTTCTGTCTCATTGCAAAGGGCTCCCAACTTCTCATATAATTCATGGAGATGTTTGAATGCTAAAATAAAATAATTCCACCATAAAAAATCACTACATGTCTGCTTTCTTTCCCAAATTATGAAATTACATGGTAATCAGGACTACGAAAGCCTCCAAAGGGCACTTTAAATAAAATCCTTCCTTCATTCTCAGTGTGTACCTCAACAGGCAGTACAATTAAACCACCACCAAGCAGCCAAAATTCAGAGTTTAAAATAGAGTTTTTGAATGAAATATTCCAAAAAGGGAAAAATTTTCTCTTCCAACATCATGGAATTTTTCAATTTTCCCAGCAACCAGATGTAATATATTAAGCAAATGGCATAATCATGTTCTGCCTTCTTCAACAGCTGTTCAAAAATGACACGTGTGATCACTGCTCATATCCAAATCACTCCATGAGAAAAGTCTCAGGCATCTCAAAATCATGTAAAGGCTCTATTTGAAATGCAAATAATATTTTAGCTGCACATTGAGAGATATGTTTGTACCTCTAAGTACAGGAGTAAAACTGAAGTCTTCCTTTTGTTACCTAAAATGATACGTGACCTTGATCAAGTTACTTAACCTCTCTGGCCAATAGCTTATTCAATTGAGGCAAACACTAAATTTATGTCCAGTATTATAGTTCTAGGAAATGTACATTAATACTTAAACAACTCAACATTTACTGCACATTACGATAGTAACTTACAAAAGTTTCCCACAGCCTTTAATCAAAAGATGTAATGTTTCACATTATGCGATGTCTATAGCTGCCACCCCAAACACATAGAATTCAGTCTGTCGATGACAGAGCATCGACTAACCAGAAAGCTAAGAATGGGATACCCTTCCGGGCAGCAACCTAACAATCAGTCAATAGTGTGAGAGGAGGTGTCAAAGCCATACACTCACGGATACAGCATGGAACACTCTAATTCAGCATTTAAGTGACAGAAACAAAAAAAAGCAACAAAAACTTGCACTGAAATATAATTCATCTATTGTAAAAATCTCTACATATATTTCCCAATTCACTAGAGGTAAAGAGAAAGTGTATTTGCAAAGAACAAAATATTTAAATAGATGGCCATCAATCAGATTATTTGTTCCGGAACTTAAACTTGATTCAAAAGAGATAAATTCAGATGTCGCCCCCACTCCTTTAACATAAGCAAAGAAAGAAGGTGTGCAAAATCAAGAGGTAAAAAAAATTTCTTGTTTAAGCTTTCACATTGCTTCAGTTGTCAAGCTTCCCCATTATAAAAAGCTTTGAACTTCTGCTTGTTGAACCAAGATTCCCAAGAAACCACCAGGCATCATCACTATTTCTTTGATTTTGCAATCTTTAAGCCTCATGTGCCATGACCACAGTGAAAAGGCTGAACAAAGAGCATATATATACTTAAGAAATCCCTAACATATGATTTTGAAGTGAATTTAAGTTATTACTAAGCATCCTAACATCCTTTTCAGGTCGTTGTTACTTAAAAACAACCTAAGAAGTCAGAAAACCCAGGCTAAGAATCAGTACTATCAGGTGAAGGGACTACAAAAGAAAGGCAATTTTGTGAAAAATTATCAGTAAAGCATTCTGGTTTAGGATTATCTAAGCTATAAAAAATGAGTTAGGTCTTTTAAGTTGGAGTACATGTGTAGATATGTTTTCTTTTTTTTCTTAACCCAGGGAAAATGTGCCAACTTCATTATTTAAGAAGCTTTTAAGGGCTATATATTTTAATTACGCTGAAGAAGAAATACCTCCATACAATTGACTGTTCTTTCAAAAGTCAAGTAAGCAAATGAAAACTCACAGATCTCATTTAATGGCAAGAACAATACTGACACTTCTACAGGTTACATATTTGCCTTTGGTTAATATCAGTAAATCAGGTTTGTATTATATATTATTAAAAGCTAATATAATATTAGAATCATATATTTTAAAAGGCAATTTTGAAAAGCATAGTGACAGGATTCTATTCCTTTTTTCTTTCAAAAAGAAAATCTAAAAGCTATATTTATGGCAATTTTTCTGCTTTCTATACCAGTAGATATACACTGAAGTCATAGTGAAATATAACTGATATACAGCATTTAAATGCCATTCTAAAACATAATTTATTATTTTAGGAGACACTATTGGCGTCTACTGACCATATTCATTTTATTTGCATGCCCCATGTATGCTATTTTAAACCTATTCTTTTCTAGAGTAAAAACAAATATACAGTGAGAACAATTACGCAAAATAAGTGTTTGCAGCAACGATTTATTGCAACTTACTGTCTGGAAACAGTGCCTAAACATTCATACAATTATTGCAAACTTTTCAAATGGCTGAATCCAACACGGAATAGAAAAATTTACTGCTTCTTAGCTATGACTATACTAACAAGAGATAGCAAGCAGAATAAAGAGTATAGCTTTCAAACTTCCTTCTTTTGCTAACCAGAACTTTAATTATAACCCATTAAACCCAGCAGTTCATTTGGTAGAGATGGCCAAATTTTTACAATTATATTAAACTGTAAATTCTGCTTGGGCCTAAAACTACATATATTTATCCATCTAATTAGTGTAACTAAGTGTTCCACTTGTATCAGACTCCATGATAGATATTAGGGATATAGTATTGAAGGAGGCAGATAATATCTCTGCCTTCAAGATACTTACATTTTAAGATAAAGAAAATTGTAAATAAAAACCTTTATTCATTTGTATTTATATCAGCCTGTATTTATTTGCTTCTAGAGGAATTTCTCTAGCTTAAATTCTATGAAAACATACATTAGTTAACCTCCTGGCATCTCAGTTTCCTGGTCTCTATGGATATAATACAGTACAACTTGCCATTTTATAGGATTATTGTGAGGATCAAGTAAGAACTATAGATTTGTGCTAATAGTACTTTCTGAGATGATGAAAATGTTCCATAATCTTCCTTGTCCAATATGGTAGCCACTAGAAGAACTAATTTTTAAATTTATGTTCATGTACTTTTCTTAGTGTTTCATTAATTTATTTGTAATTAACTGGAATTTATTTATTTAAAACAATTCTTTTTTAGAGACAGGGTCTCACTCTGTCACCCAGGCTGGAGTGCAATGGCACGATATCCACTCATTGTAACCTCTGCCTCCTGGGCTCAAGCCATCCTTTCACCTCAGCCTCCAGAGTAGCTGGGAATATAGACACATGCAACCACACCCAGCTACTTTTTGTGTTTTTTGTGGAGGCAGGGTTTCACTATGTTGCCCAGGCTGGTCTCAAACTCCTGGTCTCAAGTTATCTACCTGCCTCGGCCTCTCAAAGTGCTGGGATTATAGGCATGCACCACCGTGCCCAGCCTAAAATTTAAATAACCACATTTTGCTAGGGAATACCATATTAGATAGCACACTCGACAATAACATGTACATAGCTAGGATTATTATTTAATAAAATGAATCATTCAAGTAAATTTTTCGTGCAAATGGGATAAAGAGATTAAACAGAATGGAAGTGATAAATTTATTCAGTGACAAACTCACACACTTGTCACTATCAATATTCTTAGCTGTAAATGCAAAGGTTCAATCTGCTGTTACTAAGCTAATGCTTCTGTTTATATTGCTTCTTGAGCTACAGGAACAGTCTTATTCCTATCTAGAAGAAAGTCAGGGCTCAATGCATTTTGATTGAATGAGTGAATAAATTAAGGGAGATATGAACAGATGAAAATTTCTCACCAAGGCCCCTGAGTTACCTGAGATATGCTGGTCACAGTATTTCATGGCACCCTTACCACTGACTTGACCTGACATACGTGGGTTTCTTCAAGAAGCTACAAAATGCATCTTTCACCCACAAGCAAATGACTGACTTTGGAGTCATTTGATTGTGAATTAAAGTGATATATAAAAACCTAAAAAAAATTAGGGCACAAAAAGGAACAGATTTTAAAGTCTTTTTCACTGACTAGGGACTAGCATAGCTTTTTATATTTGATTTTAGCCCTGGTTTTAAAAACTATTCCTACTATGAAGTGTTTTCCATGGTTCCAATTATAATTTATTTACATATATCTTTTCACACACAGAAAAAAAAATGTTTTACTGTAGAGGTGAAAACTATAAAAGGATTGGTTTTTTTCAAGGTCATTAACTTCCATTTCTTTCTTTTCTCCCAATAATATGGAGCAAATCTAATAAGAATAATATCTAAAATAATCCGTGAAAGGAAAATATTTCTTAAAACCTCAGAGTTCTTAAAATGA